CAAACATTAACAAAAGAAAAGGCAGCCCCTGGGAAGGTGCAGGAGAAGGTGTAGCTGATGCCCTGGCCCCAGATCCTGCTCACCAAAGCTGCTCAGCACACACCCAGCCCCAAATCCGTGCAGGATGCCCCTGCCTTGTGCCTTCGCTGCCGAGGAGTGAGCAGATAGGAAAGGCACAAGGTATCCAGAGGTACATAGAGGTGGACCTCAAGCTTTGCACTAGGAGATGGGCAACCAGACCAAAGCCCAGCAGCTGGGGCTGCGAAGGGGTAGCGCTGCCCCACCGCGTGCTAAGAAACATCACCGTGGGTGGTTACAACCTTTGAATTCCCCTCCACATCCATAACCCTGTGGGAACAAAGCCAGCTGATCTCCAAGAGGTGAGGTGGGCTCCTACACCCCAGGGCTCTGCCATGCTCCTATCCCGGCAGTGCCACCAGCATCCTGTTCAGCCCCTGCCATGGTGGTGGCTCAGATGACAGCTGCCAATGCTCAGCTCTTTTTCCCATCCCAGACTGGAAGATCCAGCTCTACCTGTTCCTTCGGAGTCTCGTTTCAGGCAGGCAGGTCTCCCTGCTCCAGATGAGCTAGGTACCTACAGCCCGGGCAGGCAAAACAGCAAAACCCAGCAACCAGCTCTGTGGTCCCCAATGACAAGCCGCAATTTTTCTCCATGGCCGAGCAACACATGAGGTGCACGTGGATCAGAACCCTGGCTAACAAAGCAAACCTGCGTATTCACACCCCATCAGGTACAATAGTCTAGACGGCCTTAGCCCCAGGCACAACGGGCTTACAGGTCACAGTGTTTGTGCCCACTCCCATCTTGCCCAGAAGACTGAAGTCCTTCCCGTGACGCTCAGGCATGATGCCTAATCTCCATCCCCAAGACCACACAGAGTGCAAACCGTCCCAAGGATGTTCCTGCTGCACTCTCTGCTTCACCCTGCCCTCCCACCCTGCTTCTCCAGCCCATAAAAATCGATAAGCAAGTCTGTAAATCCCCTCCATGACACAACAGAGACAGGAAAGCACCTTACCTGCAGCTGAAAAAGGCAAGTGGCCTCCTTGATGCCTGGCTGGCAGCTACTGGGGATCTGGGTATTTGAGTGTTGCAGCCTCCTCCCCAGTCCCACTTTCAGAGCAGAAAAACTGGCTCTGCCACCCAGCACGGACAGCACATGACACTGGGAACATGACCAGTCGCATTCATACCTTCAAGAGGCATTGCCTCCAGCACAGGCAGCAGCAGAAAGACCTCCTGACCCTTTGCAAGCAAGCCAAGGCAGCTCTGGAGGCTACAGACGTCTGCGAGGACCAGCCCTGAGACCAGGGAGGGCACTGGGGACTCAATCTAGGAACGTGCTATGGTCAAGATCCTGCTGGAAGCAGAGAAGAGGGGACTTGGGGGTGTTCTTAAAAGCACGGTGAGAGGAATCTCCAGCAGGTCCTTGCTCCCCTCTTGGTGGGAGGCATCAGGTGGCTCCAGGAGGTGCAGGCAAGGTCAGCACTCTCAGCTCCCTCAGCTCCCTCCAATTCTTGTCCTTGCTGCTGGCTTTCACTCCAACATATCATTAAGCAAATACCTATCAGCAGGGAACAGTTGCCAGCAGGTCTAAACACTTGCATAACGCGCTTCCCGTCTAATGCAATGCCCTCATTTCTAATAGCACCAATATGGGATAATAACAGTAACAATAATGTCAAGAAGGGCTTGTGTACCTGAAAGCTAATTTGTTTTCTCCACCTAATAAAAGGTATTACCTCTCCTGCAAGATTTGCCCCATTTAAAGCCTTCAGCTCTGCAACAAAGTTGCTCCCGCAGTCATTTTACTTTAATTTACAGTAATTGCAGCATACATGGAGCTCCCTCCCACTGAGTGAGACTGACCCTGGGTAACTCATGCAGGGGGCCAACAGCTGTACAGAAGTCACTCGTCCCAAAACCCTGGCCGTGTCTGCCCCAGGCTTCCTCCGCTGGAGCCTGCACTGGCCCCAAACACAGAACAAGAGTCTCCTTGGCAGGTTTAGATCAGAAATAAGGGATGGGTTATAACGGCAAGGGTGGATAAGTAGGAGTAGTTCAGCACAACCAGTGGCAAGTGGCAGAGTCCCCATTGCTGCCCAATTTACAATCAATAGCGACGGTGCTTTCTAGTAGAGATGCTTTAGCTCACGCGGAAATCACTCGGGGACCTCCCGGAGGCCAGTGCTCAGCCTGAGGATAAAGGATGGCAGCAATCCCACCCAATTCTGGGGTGACCTGGCTCTCGGGGTGCCAGGCTGCCACCATCCAGCAGGACAGCGGAGAGCAGCAGCCACAGTCACGTCCAGGTCCCAGCCCACAAACCGCGCGGATTCCGCTCTCACCCTGCAGCAAGCACAAAGCTGCCCTTGAAGGAAGGCAAGCAGCCTGCCAGCCAGCACCCCAAACACCAGCACGCGGCCTCCACCGCACTGCTGTTGAAGTGCGGAGCTGCAAGGGATGAGCAAAACTCCCAGAAAACATTAATTAGCACAGTACTGAGCACTTATGTCCTCCATTTCTGTGCCAAGGAGCCTTTGGCTACAGAAGACCAATCTCTCTGCTTAAATCACATCATCACAGATGGCTGTTTATTTAGAATCCAGTGTGCACACCTGGGAAGCAAATGCCAGAGCTCTCCTCCTCCTCCTGCAATTTCTCCCCTTCCTGCCTCTGAGTCAAGCCATTTAATTTGTACTGCAGAAGACCTGGGACAGCTGTCCCCTTGCTTGGGGCTACAAGTGGCTGCTTCTTCCAAATGAGGACAACTGCTCATCCCACCTGTGTCAGAGGTTTTGCTGCTGCTGAACACGTGTGTTTTAATAATGAAAGAGGAGTGAGGCCCTGGGAAGCTGGTTGGGCAAGGGCTGGGAGCAAGTCCTGAAGCCCATGGGGAGGACCGAGCCTTTTTTATGTTTTAAGCCTTTCCACAGCAGCTGCCAGGAAGCAGCTTTAACAGCTGCAAGTAACAGAATCTCTCCCAAATAAAATAATTGTAGATGGCTTTTTTTCTTTTTCCCCTCCAAGTCACTGCCAGCATCTTGGCTAATTTTATCTATTCTCAGCCACCTCTTACCTCCCCAAACGCTACCAGAAGTGCTCAAATTACTGCCAGCTCTCATTAGGTTCATGCACAAAGCTAGGCCAAGCGATAAGACCTCCAGACAGTTGGATGCTGAATTCTGATGAATCCTTTGGGTAGGAAGACTTCAGCAACTGTGGAACTGTTTTTGTTGGCGATCTCTCACAGTCTTTGCACTGGCACACAAGTGAAGCTGGTGCACGGCTGATTATTGGCTGCTATAACAAAATCCAGTGAGCATATGACTGAAAAATTACTGTCTGCATCTTCAAAAAGAAAAAGATCACCTCATTTCCTTTAATTATTAAACTACTCTACACTAAAGCACTGCAGGTCAGTAGAATTTATCCACACGAAAAGCAGCTGCTGCTTCAGAAAACCCCGTTATCTTTATTTCTTCTGACATTTCTGTAAATTTTGGCTTTGTGGCAGGAGCAAAGCTGCCATTTTGCACTGATGCAGGAATTGGGAGGTCTCACTCCCCAGCCTGGGTTCAGAGCCCTCTTTCCTACGAGACGGTACCCTGCCATGAAAAGCCCCACCTGTCCCAGCCCCAGAGTAGCATCCAACCCTGCCCCACAAACCACAGTCAGGGCTGAGAAGAAAAAGCCCCACAGTTCTTTCTCCTCATTTCGTTTGTGTCCACTGCTATCTTGATAGCTCTTAACTGAAACAGTTGTCAAAACAAACCCTTTCTTTAATAATGCTATTAAGGTAAAGAAGAAAAATAATATAGAGGTTATTGTAGTGCAGTTTTTTTTTACCCCAGACACACTCATTTCAAGTCTAGTTTTCTTCAAGATGCAAAAAAGGCTCTCCCTTTAGAGATCTGATCAGTCTAACCAGGACTAAGGTAAGGCTTTTTCCATATATATAAAATCAGAGGAGCATTAGCCAAAAGGTAGTCTAATAATAAAACCACTTCTCTATTGCACAGCTAGAGCAGAGGAATGTTAAGCCTTCGGTACAGCAGAAATGTGCAAGACCTGTTAAAACCCAGAGGATTTTCAAAATGAGATTTGAGCATCATTATTAGCAATGAGCAAGTACAGAGGCAGGTGTGACACTCAGTCACCTCTGGTTAGCTGTTCTGGACTTCTTGAAGTTCCATTTTAGCTGTGCATTTCTGCTCTTGTGATTCCAACAGAGCCTGCTCCCTCCTCAGCGGCAGGCTCAAAAGACAGAACTTGCAAAAAAGAACAAAGCAGGGAACTTTTCACAGCACAAGGAAACAGACACCATATGTGGAGCAGCTTCTGAGACAAAGGAGGACTCCCGCTAACAGAACCAAATTGCTTCCTCTCCCCCTACTTTAATATACCTTCCAAGAAGGAGTATTGCTTTATGGCGTTTTTACACAGAAACAGTAGAAAAGCAGTATCTGAGTTTGTGAACAGTCTGTGGCTGACATGTCAGGCTGCATTGAAAAGGGGAGTCTTCCTGCTAAATTCTCACATTAAATTGCCCAAACATGAATCAATCCCTTTTAGCCAGTTCTCGTTTATTGCTATAAAGAAAAGTACCCACATTCTTAGGGCCAGATCAGCATTTTCCCAGCTCATGCTGAAGCAAGCACTCTGCAAGAGGAGAAACAGCACCCTAGTGAGATTCCCTGTCCCACATCCCTGAGTCATTAACAGACATCTTAAGGAAGCTGGGGGCTTCTCTTCAGCAACAATGGCTCAATAAGGAATTCCCTCTGCTCTATTCTGTCCAGCCTAGGAACTGCAAGGTTCATAGTCATAAATATTTGCCTTTTCTTGTACCTCCTATCCAATATTCACTTCAACACCAACACAGAGCTATCAGGAACTTAATTATGTCTCTCTGACTTAAAAAAATCACACCGTGATTTCAGCTAACTCTAACTAGCCAGCTGCTACTTTTTTCTCCAGCATAGTCTTCACAGTCCAGAGAGCTTCTCCAAAGAGCTTGTTAACACATACAGCAGAGGGATTTCAGTGAAAAGATATAGACAGTCCATGAAAACAGAGAAGCAATCTGCACTTTAAGTCTGTCACGTTGTCCGCCAGCCTGGACTATGCTAATCACATCTCACAATGTGCTGTACGGGCTGTCATTGCCAGGCTGCATTTAATCACCATTCTTGCAGCAGCAGCTATCAGAGTTAATCTTTTCCCCTTTAATAACAGCCTTTACGTCACTCTCCAGCATGGGAACTACGACGTGGGAAGGTCAAAAAGTTCTTAATTAGAAGGATTTTTATCACTGTGATAGTTCCGTTCTAGCCTCAATAAGAGAGATCTGCAGTACAGGCAGCAAGAGCTGGAAGGCATCTTGGATATATGAAGCACTGTTTGAAGCCTACGAAAACAAAAATCAAAACACATACATGAATAATTACGCTACAAATCAGCTTTAGTAACAACAACATACTCATTTCAAACAGCATTGATTAATGCACATAAACAGAAGCCTAGTGCTTGTTGGATTTTTAAGGCCTCATTCTAGAAATCAATCGAATACGTAGTTTTTGAGGGGCTTTATGCCACTAGGCAAAAAAGCAACTGGCTTAAAAACCACCAAACAGCAGCAGGTGCAATCCAAACATAGGATATAGTTTTTGATAACAGATGAGAAGACTTCAATTCAAAGTGAAGAATAAGCATGCTGTGGCAGGAAGGAAGAACACACCAACAGGAAGCAGTCATTTCCTACCACACCTCAGCTTACAGGCACTGAGAACCAACTTAACAGCTGGGAAGTGTTGAGACTCTTGCATGCTAATTTAAGAGTCTGTCTAAGGTTTGGCTTTGGACATTTAAATTCTAGAAATCCAGACTGTTGAATTTAGTATGCGTCTTCTGCCCCATCATTAACTGTCAGGTGAGACCACATAAGGCTCACTCTTCACTAAGCAACTCATGTCTTGTGCAAATCTTCAGACATTTATTAACACTTTTAAGTTATGAGATAGGTAAGGAGAATCTTAGACCATGGGTTAGAGAATTTGGCACGCATAAGGATAAAGAAGTGGAAAAAAACAGCATTTGTGTTTTTTTAAGTATTAGCTTAAAGTTTTAACTTGAGCATAACTGACCTCCAAAAACACTCCAGTGATTAAGGGATTAAGCACATCTGCTTTCTCTTTGACCTGCAGAGATCAGATATATATTATCCCGATTGAAAATTTGATCACATTTCTTCAAGCAAAATAAAGCTAAATCCTCAGGAAGTTTAAAATCCCCATTGCCCCCTTCACTATAGGAAAGCTAAGTGGCAAGCTGCAGAGGACCTGCCCTGTAGCACACAAATAAGAACTGAATAACCTGCATATGCCCAATGCAAGTCACATACGAATAACACACATTACATCTTCAAACAAACAGCGCACAACTGGAGAATTTAGAGATAATGATATTATCTTCAGTAACACCTCAGTGTTTTGGAAAATCCACAACAGGATCACAAACTTCATTTTCTTCTGTCTCCCTAGTACTGTCAGCACCAATTCCCACCCGCACTCTGTGCCAGGCTGAACGTAGCAGGAGGCATTCAAAAGCTCAGCATACATTCAGCTGCCACAGTCTGGGGAGCACTGGCCTAGAAGATCAGTTCCCAGGGAAAAAAAAAGCATACATCAATGTGCAAACACAAAAAACACTTTGTAGTGAAGATCCCAAGGCTGTAATCAACTAACCACACCTTGTTCCTTGGTTTAACTCTTACCCCTGCAGTTGTTAAGCACGTAGTGAACTCTTTAGAGAAAGCTGACAGTTCTTTACACAGCACAATCGTCATTCTGTGGAAGAAAAGTGGGAAAACCATGTCGCAGTCTACACAGAATAACTTTTTTTTAGCATTCCTCTAAAACACAAATGCCTTGTTTTCATGCATATAAAGCTACATGTTAATATACAACATAAAAACAGTGTACAAAAATCCAGAAGTTCCCCAAATAAATTAAGGAGGGGAAAGGTGGAAAAATAAATAATTAAAGCTGAAGATCTGAAACAGCATTCAGAGGACAGACACATCCATTCAAGAAGGAACAGTACTAACTTTCTTCTTTTACTGACAAATGTCATTTTCTGAATTAGAAAGTCCTGCATATTTCATACATCTCCCAACATGAAAGAAAAACCTCATGTCATGCATTATTGGTAAGATCAATGTATTAATTAGTGCACTAATTTTACAATATCACGTACCTAACATTCTAAATGATTAACGAAGAGGTAATAACGAATCACTTTCATACAACTGCTTTGTTGTATTTTAAGTGTCTATCTACTAACTAGCACAAGCTTAGGGCAAATATTCTCCTTGGCTATATAAGTTTTCAAGCAGCGTTTCCTCTTTGTTATCAAGAAATGTCTTTAAGCAAGAAAAACAGAGACAGCTGAGTTCTGCTGGAAGATAGTGACACCACCCACTGCAACTCTGGACACATATGCAGAATTTGAGAGCCCTGCATCCCATGAATTTGCAAAGAATTATTAGATCATTTAATCAGTATTTAAGAAATTACACACTACCCATATACTAAGAGATGAACTTACTGTGAAAGGGACTTGGCTCTGTCTGTGGCTGTCACCTCTTGTTTCTGAGCATGTAGAAACAAAGCTGCAGTTTTGTGGAAAATCTCAATGGAGCACGCAGTCAGTTCAGCCAGACTTCTTATGGCAAACGCATGAACATCCTGCAAGAGTTAAAAAGATCCCCCATACCATACACAAACTAGCAGCTTTTCTTATTTAAAACAAGTGAATCACACAATATACTATCACTACACTGCCTTTTCCGACCTCAGAATCTGCACAGAAATAGAAAGCCATAAACTCTGGGAATCACAGCTGTAATTTAGCT